CCCATCCACAGAGCCCTTTCCCCATCCAGTGAGGGAAGAAGACTACAGCCTCCTACTCCACAGTCTCCACGTGGGGGACCAGCACCTGGTGATGATGAACCCACAGTGCCGAGCCTGTGGGAAAGTGGAGCAGGCCTGGACCAAGCACAGGGCCTGTCTCTGCATGAGGACAGGGACATGGGATGGCAGCCATCTCTGGGTATTGCAGATACATGGGAGGGTAGACAGTTGTGGTCTGATGCACTAGAGTCTGTATCCAGGAGGGCCCTGTGGAGGGTGTCAGGACAGATGGGGTGGCACTCAGATGTGAGTGAGGCAGAGCTGGGTGGCCCAGTGATCTGTGCAGGAGCAGAGACTCCCACCCATGGGGCTCGGTGCAGGAGCCTGGTGGGTCCCTGGGAGGAGGCCACTGGGAAGGGCCTGGCAGCCCCCACCCATGAGCCTGGCAAGTAGGCAAGACACTGGGAGACCAGCAGGAAGGCAGAAAGCTGGCATTAGGGCCCTGGGCAGCTCGGCCAGGTGAGAGCAGGGTTGGCCTCTGTGGACAGCAGGACACTCCAGCCTCAGCTCTGATGCAGGCTCCTGGCCACCAGACTCAGGCCAAGACACAGACAGGAACAGAATCCGCACATGGCTGATTTCATGGGTGTGATCTCTAGATTGTATGTTTAGAAAGAGAAGCCAGGATGGAATTCTGGCTCAATATTGTGCAATTGTTACACCTTTCTGTGCATCAGTTTCCAGAATTAGAGACTGACAAATGCTACGGAAACAGATGAAATGAGGAGCTCCCACAACGACCCTGTCCTTGCCCCCGCTAAGGACTCACCACTGAAAAGAGTCCTATCTCAGGCCTTACTCCTGCCTTCCCTCCACTCAGCACAGCCAGGCCCACCCTGAGGAGAGATGCAGCCCTGCACCCAGTCCACAGCGTCTTCCTGTCGCTTCAGGTCGCTTCAAAAGGGTGGAAACAAAGGCCCAAGACCAGGCCCCGCTTATCAGCTTATCAAGATTCGGGAGCCTTTCTCAGCCTCAATAGGTGCCGATTCTCCTGTCACCAGATGAGCCTGCCATCACTTAATGCCACCTGGGTGGCTGAGTGAATGGCTGAATACATGAGAGTCTGACAGAAGTGCCCTGAAAGCTGGAAGCGCCACTGCAGAAGGGACTAGAGGGAAGGTGGCCGCAGGGCGCCCAACTGGCCCAAACTTGGAACTATGAATGCCTGAGCTGGGGCTCCGACATTTTTCCAAGGAGGAGGAACTTTGGTTTGCAACAGGTCTGGGGCGCCATGAGCATAGAAGCTTCTAGGAAATATATCACTGCCGCTAGGACAGCTAAGTGCAGAACTCAGACGGTTTGACTGAGGCCTGAGTGTGCCAGGGCAGCAGCCTCTTGCCTTTTAAGCAAAGAAGGAAGGAGTCTGAAAACGGGAAAGGAAATGGGACAGGGTGGGGGCCCAGGAGGAAACGGGTGGAGCAAAGAAGGGGAGAGGGGCAGCAAAGGAGCAAACGGACCCCCGGCTCCCGCTCCCGGAACTTGCGTCCCGCGCGAGGAGCGCTGTGGGCGCAGCGACCCGAGGTATAAAGAGCCCGCGAGCGCCGCGGCGATTCAAACTGCCGGCCCGATTCTGCGTCTCCGCTGTTCTCGCCGCTGTCCTGTGCGCCCGGGGCTCCAATGACACCAGCCGCAGCCTTCAAGTCGGGTCTGACGGTCCTCGCGCTTCTGCTTCTGCTGCGGGGCTGGGCCTCGGAGGGGCGGACCGGTGAGTCCGGGGATGGACCCCAAGCGGGCTGGGGGCAATCGCGGGGTTCGAGGGGCTTGGATCCAAGTGGGGGTGACAACTGGGTGCCTTGGTGCGACCGGCGTGAGTAGTGGGGGTCTTGGGCCGAAGGGGGAGACAAGGGGGGGCCTTGCTCGAATGAGGGCCCGGCTTCTGGAAGGCCGGCAAGGAGCTCCCGGCACCGCGCCGCGCTGCTCAGGTCCCCTCCACGGGCTCCCTCCCGCCGGTTCCGGCCGGTTCCGCGTGCCCCGCCCACTGCTTCTTGCTGCCGGCAAGGAGAGGGGCAGAAAGAGGCTAAAAAATCACCGGTGGAGGACAGAAGGGGCAGGAGGGATGGAGAAGGCCAGAATCCGAGGTGAAGCCCCCCCAACCAGCCCGTCCCCGCCCTCCGGAAGCTGGAGCTGCCATGGACAGTGACCCAGGTGTGGTCCGGCCCACGGGCGGGGGTGGGGGAGGTCCCTCAAGGACGCCACCACAGACACCACTGGGACCACAGTAGGCCCTGCTCTACTCTCACAAAATCTCCCCACACTAACCCTCCAGCACCCCGGGCTCTGTGCCCTTGAACTTCCTGCTGCACTTTGCCCCAGGACATCACCTGCAGGGCAGGGGCTCCCAGACACTTCACACCACTCCCTCCCCATTCATTGCGTCAGTGCACAGGCCACATCCTTTTACTCCCCACCTCAGCCCCCCTGTCCCCCCACAGACCTCCCTCACCTCCCCACCCATGAAGGGGCCCTAACACCTCCACCCACTGGCACCTGTCTCCCTTGCCCGGGGACGCACCCAGCAAACATGGCCAACCTGCCCACAGACCTAAAGTAGGAGGGATGGGAAGGACCTTTCCCCAGTATGACCCTGGGGATGCTGGTAAGGAGAGGAACCTCCCTCTGCCCTGGGGTCCCTCACGCACCTATTCTGTCTACTGAAGAGACGCCATCATATGCAGTAGTCGCTACTTACACAGGAGGCAGCGAAGGTTTCCCACAGAGGGAAGGGACTGGACGCTTTCCTCTCTGCAAGTGTTGGTTCTTTCTGTGTCGGGTACAGTCTGTTTGTTCAGCAAAAGCAGGCAAAGAGAACCTGAAGACAATGGACGACCAGATGGGGTCACTATCCTAGTTTGGTGACCCCAGATCAGTATATATACAATGTCCCAGGGATGGTTGCCCTCTGCCCAGGGTGTCACCTCCAAGTGGTGTCTCAGCTGCAAGGTGAAGAGTGAAAAGCGTGTCCTTCCCTGCCTGAGGCTTCTGGGAGGGGTGGATGAGATGGGAGTGCGTGTCCTACAGTTTGGGGCCTCCTGCTCCCATCTTTGTTGTAGCTTCCAGGTCCAGGTGGGCCAAGGGACACTTGTGAACCATGGAGAGGTGCTGGGACAACAGTGTGGTGTCCTGGGCATCGGGACACCTGATGTGCAGTTTTGTTCCCTCTGGCCCAGCTCCTGCCAGTCCCAGGAGGATTACATGTGTCTTGTCACTGCTGGGCTTGTCTCCCTAGTGACATGGTGGGTGAGGAGCCCATCCGGTGAAGGGCAGCTCCGAGGCTGCGTGGTCACTGGTATCCCATGGCTGGAGGCTCCATCTCTGCCAGGGCCCAGCCATACAGGAGCCACTTTAAGTGTTGATATTTCCTTGCTGCAAGTAGGAAGGCCTTGCTGCTGAGCACTGGGAGTCTGTATTGTGATTGTCCAATTAGGAATTGCCATGAACTCCACAAAGCCCCTTTTCCAACCACACATGCCTCTAGGATGTTGGCGCATCCTTGGACACATGGCCCTAGTGACAGGTCCAGCCACACTCATGTATTCACACATTGTCTAAGGCTGCTTTCAGGCTACAAGAGCAGAGTTGTGTGGTTGCAAGAGAGATCATACGGCCTGCAAAGCCTAACATATTTACTATGTTAACTACAAAGGCTGTCCATTCCTGGTACAAACCAAGGGAATATGAAATGACCATGAGTGAGTCTGTGGACCCAGGACACCCTTCTGAGCGGGACCCGGGACAGGTATCCATTCATTGCCTTGCCCCAAAGGTACTTGTCAGTAACAGGGTCAGGATGGTGCCTCAGTCCTTGGGCAGGAGGTCACCACACACTGTCCAGTAGGAAGGACTTGGTGTTTCCTCTTTCCCGGTGTACAGCTACAAGAGGGAAGGCCCACATGTCTCTGTGGGCAGCTCAAGGAGCCACTGCCATTGCTCAGGGGTTGCAGGGCCCCTGAGCTCTCCTGTCTTGGTTTCTAGGCCTGAGAAGTGGCTCAGTTCTGAAAACTGGGCAGGGGGGCCCAGTTTTTCCCTAAGGTGCTGTCTTCAGCCTCCAGAGCATCCATTCTGTGTTCAGTGTTTGTTGTCATGACCATGTAAATCCGGCAGTATTCGGGTTGGCTGCCATCTATTCTGCCTCTTGCATCCCATGTCTGGTTGGCCGTGGGCATGGCCCTCTGTGGCTCTCTAATCAAGTCTGTCGCTGCACCCTCCTTGGTTGTGACAGTGCAGTGCCTCACTAAGATTATTTCAGCATGTCTGACGCCCGTTACTACTGGGAGCCATTTCAGGAGCACCGTCTCCTAGCGCCAACCCTGCCTTCAGCAACAGGCATCCCTGAGCTTGTTCACAATGCCGGGGCCCTTCGCACTATGCATTCTTTCCATGCTTGGGAGGCAAGAGTCCTCCGGGCTCTCCTACTGACCACAGTGCACTGGACATTGTTCTGGGTTTCACACTCCAGCCACTCAGCACGTGCACTGCCCTGAGCCTTTGGATTCCCTCCTCCAGCGCCCGCCCCACAAGTCCTGCATTTTCTATTTCATGCCGTGTGCACCATACCTGTGTCCAAGGTTCCACAAACACATCTTCATAGCAGATGAGCATCACACCAGGGCTTTGCCAACGTGTTAAAGCCTGTGACCCATGACAGTGAACTCTCCTTATGTAACCTGCATCCCGTCCTCACCCCGAACTCCTGCCCCAGCATCCTCAGGGCAGCCCCTGCACTCTGCCCCTCCCGCACCCACGTGGGCTGCTGCTGAAGGTGCTCTGGCACCCAGGCCTCTCCTCCCATCGCAGGCTGGCACCTCCCTGGCAAGGCCATGTGCTGACCTGTGTGGGCAGAGGGGAGGTGGGACATGTGTGGGCACATGTGCTTTCTTGCTTTCTTTCTCCTCCTCATCCTCCTCAAACAAGAGACAAGCACTGGGCTTGATCTGGTGGACATGACAACCCAGGAAGGTGAATCCTGTCTCAGCCACCCAGCCCTTCAGAGGGAGTCTCTTCCTGTCATAATGGGGGGACAGTTTCTGGGGTTCCTTTTCTTTCTACCTAGCCCTCACCTGCCTTTCTCCTTACAGAAACTCATGCTTCTTTCAATAACTTCACCATCAACATTAAGTTCACACTTACACCAGAGAAGTGTGGGGTTCAATGCCACATGGACTGTGGCAACACGAAGGCCAAAGCCCCCAGACCCCTGGAAAAGGAAATAAATGGCACAAAGGCCTGGAGAAAATGGATAGAGACATGGGGAGAGGCGGTGCTTCAGGTTCTAAAGGAGAATCATACAACCAGTGGTAAGTTTAAAATGGCCCAGGGTGGCAGAGAGCAGATTCTGGGACAGTTACAGGCATTTGTTGCTTTCATATTAAAAAACACGGTGGGGGAGGGATGCTTATCTGACCCTATAGGTCCAGGAGATAGGAAGGGAACAGGGTGGGGACACAGGATTTGTCATGACCAAAGCTGATCTTTTTCCCATGGGGGCAGATCTTTTCACCTTGCAGGTCAAGATACCTTGTGATCGTGAAGCCAATGGACACATCAGTGGACCCTTTCAGTTAATCTGTGATGAGCAGATGTTCCAACAAAGTGAATTCGTGAACAGATTGTGCCCACTGGTTCACAATGCAGTGAGTCAAATGATGAAGGGGATGGATTACACGAATGTGACCACCATCTTCATGGAAGAATTGAAAAGAATCTTTGAAGACTTACTGATGCTCAACAAAAGTAAATATGGTAGCTCTTGGGAGTTCAGATCTAATCACCCAAGCATGTGAGAAAGAATGTGTCTGTGTGTGTGTGTGCATGCAAGGATGATCCACTCATGATGGATTCTTCTTGGGGGGATAACGACATTAGTCTTGTCTATGATCCTCTTTTCTCCTCTCACCTCCTGACATCTCTTCCTCACTGCACCTACTTTTGGTCCATTCATTGTGATTTTCTAAATAGCCTCAAAGCTGTGGGCATCCTTATGTCTCCAGACCTTTTGCCTGACTGTTCACTCCTGCTACAATCACTTCTCCTTTCCTCTCACCTGGTCTGTTTCTGGAAATCCTTCAAAACCTCCTCAAATGCCAGCTCCAGAGACCCTCCCCTACCCCACTTTCAGGCATCACCTCCTGTTCTGCCAGGGCAGGAGGGATGGGTTGTGTGGTCCCCTTGCTTCCCTCAGCAGCGTGGGAGCTCCCTGAGGACAGGACACGTCCCTGCCTCCCATCCTAGCTCAGGACTTGTCCCTGCAGCTGCCACACAGCAGAGGACACAGACATTTGTGCTGCACAGGGACTTGTGGCAGCAGCAGCTGAGAAGGTGTTTCCTGAGATTTGGCACCTGGACCAGGGCTGTCACTCTCCTGTTTCCATTTCAGCAAGATCCACTGAGGCCCCAGACACAGCCCAAAACTGTACATTAGTCGGCTTCATCATATCCATCTGCATTTTGTTAATCTTCCTCATCTGGGCCATCTACAAAAGGTACGTAGAGTGACAGGTGCTGTGGGCAGATTTGGGAGGGGAGCAGGGAAGGTATTGAGGTGGGAGGATGGGGAAGGGACTCCCAGTAGGCCCCACTCCTCCCCTTTTCTGGGACTTTCTCTTCCCAGAATGAGACGGGAGCAAGACCTCATGTCCCTTGATAGTAGTACCCTGGGTCACCCAGCCCGACTTCCGATGAGTTGTAACTGTCACAGGCCAGCGGGAAGGGAGGGCCCACACCAAAACTTAGGGCGTCTGGACACTGGAGGGGAGCAGCAGCGTCAGGGGATTTTCGGAGCAGGCTGTGTGTTCCTACGGGCCAATGCTGGGTGGCATGCAGACAGCAGGACCACGGGTACGGGCAGCACCTTAGTGGCTCCAGGTTATGTTCCAAAGGGAAGGAGGTTTTATTTATGAGGAAGAGAGGAGAGGAACTGGGTCTAATCCCAGGAGTACAGGCTGCAATGGCCTTGACATTCCAAAGGCTGGAGGTCAGGGCTGCATTCCATGGAACATGGCTCGGGACACAGAAGTTAAGCTGGAAGGTTAAGAGCAGAGAGTGTCCAGGTTGAGGTTGGAAACAAGGCCAGTCCCGCCAGACCCTGGGATTCCAGCTGGGGCCTGGGCAATGCCCCTGACACCCAGCCTCCTGCACACTCCAGACCCTGAGCCAGCGGATGAGCAGAATTGACTCTGAGGACAGGTGGGCCGAGTTGTGGCTGGAGTCCCACGGTCACAGTTGAGCTGGACCAGGGATGGATGGGGACAGTCACATTCAGGGTTGTGGGTGTCTTTCCCAGAGTGAGGAGAGGCTGAGAGGAGGCCAGAGAGAAGGATGTTTGCCTGCAGCCCCTCCTGAGGCCAGGGCGTCATGGAGCCAGGCCCTCCCTCTGGACAGGCCCCGGGGCTGGAGAGCCCATGAGAGGGAGGAGGCACTGAGCGGGGTGCAGACCATCCCTCAGCAGCGTCCTGAGCCACACAGTCTGTGGCGGGGCCTGGGCTGATCTGCGATTGTAAAGGTGGGCAGAGGTGGGTATAGGCTGCAGGCACCGGGCGTGGGGTTTGAGGAAAAATGTGTCCCTTAGTAACAGGTGTCCTCTGACTGTGACACTCATTGGGGAAGGACGGCCCAAGAGAACTGGCCCAAGGTCTCTTCGGCCTCCTAAACCATCACTTGTATCTTTTCTGAAGGTGAAGCTGCTCCCGCCAAGACCCTGTGAGCATGGCCTGGTTCACACTCTCGTCTCCGGTCGCCACCTGTCCAGCACCTGCCCCTGCTGTCCAGACCTCCAGGAGTTCAAGCCTTCGCATGTTCAGAGGCTGCCAGTGGCCATGATGGAACTGTACTTTCCATATCTCAGGGTTTTATCCCTTCGTCGTGATCCTGTTACACTTTTTCATGACACATCAGCCAGTTTCTCTTGGTGCTAAGAAATGGAATTTTTGCACTTAAGGTTTTCACTGGCTGAAAATGTCAATGAGAGCACTTTTCTCCTTCCACTTTGATTGTGGAAAGCAGACACAGGCAGTCCCTGTGATATAGATGAACTGCCTTACAGCATTCTGTATTTACCAATGGGCTCCCAAGGCTCCTCACAAGGAGAGTTTATAATTTTTTTTTTTTTTTTTTTGAGACAGAGTCTCACACTGTTGTCTGGGCTAGAATGCCATGGCGTCAGCCTAGTTCACAGCAACCTCCTGGGCTCAAACAATCCTCCTGCCTCAGCCTCCCAGGTAGCTGGGACTACAGGCATGCGCCACCATGCCCGGTTAATTTCATATATATATATGTGTGTGTGTGTGTGTGTGTGTGTGTGTGTGTGTGTGTATATGTATATATATTTTTTTTAGTTGTCCAGCTAATTTCTTTCTTTTTTTTTTGGTAGAGATGGGGTCTCGCTCTTGCTCAGGCTGGTCTCGAGCTCCTGAGCTCAAACAATCCTCCCGCCTCGGCCTCCCAGAGTGCTAGGATTACAGGCATGAGCCACCACGCCCAGCCGAGAATTTATAATTTAATAACGAAGTTAAGAACTCGGGAACTCATTTCTTTCGCGTATGTAAACAAACCCGCACGATGTGGCGGTGAGTTGTTGCAGCATCTTTAGGCTCTGGACTGGTCTCATCGTTTATTTCCTCACAGCGTCACTTTCGTCTTAATCTTTTTATTCCATCGTGTGAGTCTGTGTTTACCTTTATGACCAGATCTCCAAAGCGAACATCCCCTGTGAGTCCAGGTGACCCTGCAGTGAAGACAAAAGTGATTACAGTACAAACTAAAGTAGAAATCATTAAGCATCTGAAAAAGTCCATATGCCAGCGTTCACTAGGAGAGCATTAGGCTTCAGTCGCTCCACTATGGGAACAATTACAAAAGATGAAGTGAGAACAATAGAACATGTGAAAGGCAGTGCTCCCATGAAAGCAACAAGTATTACTAAACAGCGTAGTGGATAAATTATTGAAATAGAAAGGTTATTATTGGACCTAACGATGTTCTCGGGAAGGTATCTCCTCTGTAACCCAGGGATGCCTTTAGTCATGTGAACCATGACTGTATTCTTCCAAATGATATTGCCAAAGTAGATTTCAGGTTCTGAACCTACTTTCCGATTTCCTGATAAAGAGTTTTTTATATGTGGGTTCCCTATTCTACTTTGTTGGTCTATGTTTCTGTCCTTGTACCAGTACCATCCTGTTTTGGTTACTATAGCCTTATACCTTCAAGTCTGGTAAATCGATGCCTCCTAATTTGTTCTTTTTGCTTAAGGTTGCTTTGGCTATACATGGTCTTTTCTGACTCTATGTGAAGCATAGAATTATATTTTCTAGACCTGTGAGAAATGATGTTGGTATTTTCATAGGGATTGCATTGAATATGTAGATCACTTTAGGCAGTATAGACATTTTAACAATGTTGATTCTGCCAATCCATGAGCATGGTATGGTTTTCCATCTGTTTGCGTCCTGTGCTATTTCCTTCCTCAGTGTTTCATAGTTCTCCCTATAGTGGTCTTTCACCTCCTTAGTTAAATATACTCCTAGGTATGTTATTTTCTTTGTTGCTATTATGAAAGGTGTTGAGTCTTTGACTTGGTTCTCACCTTGGCGTATGTGAATGCTACTGATTTGCATACATTGATTTTATAACCTGATACTTTACTGAATTTGTTTATCGGTTCCAGTAGTCTCTTGGCAGATTCTTTCAGGTTTTCAAGATACAGGATTGTATCAGTAGTAAAGAGCTATAGTTTGACCTCTTCTGCCCCCGTTTGGATACCCTTGATTTCCTTCTCTTGTCTGATTGCTCTGGCTAGGACTTCTAGCACTATGTTGAATAGAAGTGGTGATAGAAGGCAACCTTGTCTGGTTCCAGTTCTAAGAGGAAATGCTTTGAATTTTTTCCCCATTCAGTATGATGTTGGCAGTGGGTTTGTCATATATGGCTTTTATCATTTTGAGGTAAGTCCTGTCTGTGCCTATTTTGTTAAGTATTCTCGTAAAAACTTGCTGAATTTTGTCAAATGCTTTTTCTGCATCTACTGGGAGGATCATATGGTCTTTGTTTTTACCTCTATTTATGTGGTGAATTACATTTATAGATTTGCATATGTTGAACCATCCTTGCATCTCTGGGATGAAGCCCCACTTGCAGCTGAATTTGGTTTGCTAGGATTTTATGGAGAATTTTTGCATCTATATTCATGAGGCATATTGGCCTGTAGTTTTCTTTTTTTGTTGAGTCCTGTTCTGGCTTTGGTATCAAAGTGATGTTGGCTTCATAGAACATGTTGGGGAGGATTCCTCCCTTCTCAATGTTATGGAATAATTTCTTCAAGATACATACCAGTTCTTCTTTGTAGGTCTCGTAAAATTCGCGTGTGAAATCATCTGGTCCAGAATTTTTTTTTTTTTGGAAGATTTTTGTTGCTGTTTCAATTTAAATATTTGATAACCATCCTCAGATTGCCATCTGATCTTTGACAAAGCAGACAAAACCATACATCGGTAAAAGAATCCCTATTCAGTAAATGATGCTGGGAAAATTGAACAGCCACATGTAGAAGACTAAAACAGGATCCACACCTCTCACCTCTCATAAAAATCAACACATGTTGGATAACAGACTTAAACCTAAGGCATGAAACCATATGAATTCTAGAAGAAAGTTTTGGAAAAACTCTTCTAGACATCAGCCTAGGCAAAGAATTTATGAAGAAGACCAAAAAAGCAATCATAGCAACAACAAAAATAAATAAATGGGACCTGATCAAATTTAAAAGCTTGTGAAACAATCATTGGAACAAATAGACAACCTATAGAATGGGAGAAAATATTTGCATGCTATACATCTGATAAAGGGCTAATAAGTAGAATCTATAAAGAACTCAAGAAAATCAACAAGAAAAAAATCAAACATTCCCGTTAAAATGTAGGCAAAGGACATGAACAGAAACTTTTCAAAAGAAGATAGACTAATGGCCAACCAACATGAAAAAATGCTCAACATCTCTAACCATCAGGTAAATGCAAATCAAAACCACAATGAGATATCACTTAACTCCAGTGAGAATGGCTATTATCAAAAAGTCCCAAAACAAAACTGGTGAGCTAATACCTCTTGTCTTATCCTGGATGGAGCTGGAGCCCATTCTTCTAATTGAAGTATCACAAGAATGGAAAAACAAACACCACATGTACTCACCATTAAATTGTTACTAATTGATCAACACTTATGTGCACATGTAGAAGTAACATTTATCATGGATCGAGCAGGTGAGGGGGGGAGAGGGGATGGGTAAATTCACACTAATGGGTGTAGTGCATGCTGTCTGGGGCAATGGCAGCTTTAACTCAGGGGTGCAAAGGCAATTTATGTGACCAAAGCCTCTGTACTCCCATAATGTTCTGAAATAAATAAATAATAAACAAAAGTTTTAAAAATTTTTTTAAAGATTTTTTAATAAGAAAAATCATATTCAAGTTTGTTCCCTTTAATAATTCATTGCACTGTACTGACATTTAAATAAAGATCTGGATTTTTGTCAAATCTTAGTGACTTTGGGATTTTGTTTTACAACCTAGTAGAGAGTTAATGGAATTTCATGTCCTCCATGTCAGGCAGTAAGAAACCTAGTGACCCTGCAAGATTTCCTTTAGAAAAAGAATGTAAATTCCCAGCAATCTGCCTGTGAGTCTCACACCTTGTCCTCACACCCTCAACGCAAACACATGTTCTGTGCTCAGGGACTGTGATGTTTTCTGGGTTTGCCCCCACACAGGTCCCCCCGCTTCCCTTGCCTTTCTTCAGCCATGACTGCACCTGCTTCCATTGGAAGGAAGTCCTCACAACAGAGCAGGACTTACCTTTAAAAGTTATTTTATTGCCCATGGACAAAAGATCAGTAACTAGAATATATAAATAACTCCTTAAAAGAAATTAGAATACATCTAAGTCTCCTAAGATGTGGGCAAATGCTATCAAGAGTTCACAGATGGTGAAGAAGCCTGTGAAATGTGTGCCTCAATGTATCCCAAACAATGAACATAACACAAAATAAAAGGGCAGTGGGATGTCATATACACCCATCATACTAACACAGTTTTAAATCTGACTAACCAAATGGTGGACAATAAATGGAATATTGGACATGCTTTCATTGTTGGTAAGGGTATATGTTAAATCTGTCCTCTGACATATAATATGACAATAGCCAACTCAGTGGACAATATGCTCATCCTGGTACACAACAATCCCAGAGTTAGTCCCAGGCTTTCAAACATACTCCAAAAACCATAGAGATATGCAGTTGCTTACTGTGGTGCTATATGTCATAACAAAAATTAGCAATAAAATATGCAACTAAAGTACAAAATATTTTTCAATGTTGGAGAAAGATTTCTGTTTCTCTGTCTGCCTAGAACGTCTGAACTACCAGAAATGAAACAGCCAAAATGCTGGATAAAAAATGTTAAATCTTCCAAATATATTAATGAGGACTTCCGATTGACACATAATAGTAATAACCACATGAATCCAGATTTTTCCACATTTTTTCAAAAATAAACAGATCAGCAAATGGGGCAAATAAAACACTAGAACCTGTATCTCCAATAAATAAGGGGGTAGGAAGTACATACATCCATCAGATGCTTGGCTGGGAAAGGCATTATTAGAACAATTGGTGAAACAAGCAGGCTCTGGGCAGAGATGGCAGAGATGTCTGGGTGGGATCCGTTTTGGTGATGGTCCTGTGGTTGGTAGGAGCATGTCCTGCTATGCAGGGAAACACAGTAAAGCACAGGGCTCAGGTGGCATCACTCAAGATGGGGAGGGGTCAGCGTGACAGCTCACTCTCAAGGGCTCAGGAAGGGAACTTCTCTGTACTGCACATGCACCTACTCTGTAAGTTCTGCTTGTTTTAAAATTTCATCTACTAGTTAAACAAGGAAAATTAAGGAACATTTAATTTTCAGAAATTGAGGTAAAGAAGCAAGTACCTCAACAAATACAGTCCCAATCCTGCTGTTCCTACAAAGCCAGGTCCTCCACTGTGTTTCCTCCTCACTCTGTGTTCCCTGTCCTCAGGCAGCTTCTCCCACCTCCTCCTCCTTACCTGCACAGTCGCCCCCAGGCCCTTCCATGCAGAGCCTAACCCTCACTTGGATGCGGGAGATGACAGGGGACAGGGTCACACTAAAGGGCTTAACAACTCTTTTTATATTAAATCCACTATCTTACCTTCTTTGGTATGTGTGTATGTGTGTATGTCTGTGTCTGTATGTGCCTGTGTGTGTGTGTGTGTGTGTGTGTGTGTGTGTGTGTTCCCACGGATTTTCTGCCTGGAGCTCATGACAGCCACAGGGATTTCCCAGACCTCCTCCCTGTCCCATCTCACTTCCTCACATCTCTTCCTCTCCAGTCCCCTAAGGTCACTGTCCTGGCCTGGCCCCTGTCCTACCTTTGTGCCTTCAGTCTTTCAGTTCTGGCACATTCCTAGCAGGTATTCCTTTTTCCACTAGCTAAGAGCCAGTTAAGCTTAAAGGTGGGCACGAGTGTCACCTTCCATTAAGTCTGCCTCACCTTCCTGTATTGGTCAGGGCTCTCCACAGAAATAGAAGCAATAAAATCTGTGTGTGTGTGTGTGTGTGTGTACATAAAGAAAGGGATGATGAGACAGAGGCAGAGAGAGAAAGAAGGAGATTTATTGTAAGGAAGGGGCTCACATAACTATGAGGCTGACAAGTCCAACCTCTGTAGTGTGGGCAGGGAGGCTGGAGCCAGGAAAGTGGATGGTGCAGAAGCAGTGTGAGGCAGTCTTCTGGAGAGTTCCTTCTTGTTCAGAGAGAGCTGTCTTTTAATTCATTTCAGGAAGTCAACTGATTAGACCACTCCCACTGTATCATGGGAAGCATTTTGCTGTACTCACAGTTCACCAATTTAAAAGTTCATCTCATCCAAATCGCCTTCCAAGTTGACACATCACATCACACCTCCCGGGTTAAATTGATCACCCCCTCATGTGTCCTGAGCCTACAGTAAGAGTGTTTCACTGTCTGACAGTAGATTATATATGTGTAGCTTGCCAATTCACAAGATTTTAGAAATAGATTATGTCCCTTCATTCTTTATAAATATCTGCTCTAGTACAGAGATGAGAATCAATTACGTGAGAGACTGAATCACCATGGAGAACAGGAGATGGGGACGTTCATTCTTCCTACATGTGGTGTCACTTTACAGCACAACCATCCATGGTCAGACACGCCTGGCTCTGTGGCTGCAGCCCCGTCCCCACTCAGCCCATCACTGTGTCACTCCACCCATCCACAGCTGAGGAATCCTCATCACATCCTCGTCTCAGTCCCCGTGGACACATCTGGGACTGTGGGCAGATGCCAGAGGGAGGGGAGGGTCCAGTGGCCCCTGGAGCTGTGGAGCTGGTAGCCTGTGGTGAGGACGGGCAGAGCCCCGAGGCCCTCTCTGCCCTCAACCATGGAGCCCTTTCCCCATCCAGTGAAGGAAGGAGACTACAGCCTCCTACTCCACAGTCTCCATGTGGGGGACCATCACCTGGTGACGACAAACCCCACAGTCCTGAGCCTGTGGGAAAGTGGAACAGGCCTGGACCAAGCACAGGACCTGTCTCTGTGTGAGGACAAGGACATGGTATGGCAGCCATCTCTGGGAATTAGCAGGTACACAAGAGGGTAGGCAGTTGTGGCCTAGTGTACTGGAGTCTCTGTGCAGGGAGGCCTTGTGGAGGGTTGTAGGGATGACACTAGGACACAGGGGGCCAGACTCAGACATGAGTAGGGCAGAGCTGGGTGTCCCAGTGATCTGTGCAGGAGCAGAGACTCCCACCCATGGGGCTGGGTGCAGGAGCCTTGTGGGTCCCTGAGAGGAGGCCACTGGGAAGGGCCCGGGAGCCCCCAGCCATGAGCCTGGGAAGTAGGCAAGTCACTGGGAGACCAGGAGGGAGGCAGAAGGCTGGCATTAGGGCCCCGGGCAGCTCGGCCAGGTGAGAGTAGGGTGGGCCTCTGTGGATACCAGGACACAGCCTCAGCCCTGAGACAGGCTCCTGGCCACTGACTCAGGCCAGACCCAGATGACAATGGAATTGGTGTGGAGGTGATGTTAATGAGTATGAGCTATAGATCATATTTTTACAATAGGAGCCAGGTATGTGGATGACATTCTGCTTGACTGGCTTATACTCATTTTCGAAACTTTCCATGGACCACTTTCTACCTCGGTAATATAGGAAACACCACCTCAGGGATGAAAAGAGATCATGGGGAGTTCATGCAGGTAACCCTGGCCTCGCACATGCTAAGGACTTTCCACAGCTTTCCCAATCCGGCTATTCGTTCTGCCCTCCCTGACGTCCCAGGCCAAGACCACTGTGACAGGAGAGGGACCATGCACTGCTGTCCATGGAAAGGGTTCTCTCTCACGTTGAATGGGTAGAAATAAAGGCCAAAAACTAGAACCCACTTAGCCAGAATCAGGGTCTTTTGCAGATGCTACAAGTGATGATTTTATCCTTTGTATTACTGGACTTGGGCTACCGTAACAGAATATCACAGAGTAGGTGGCTTAGACACAGAAACTTATTGTCTCAAAGTTCCAAAGGCCAAAAGTCCAAGATGAAGGTGAAATCATGGTTGGATTCCCGTGAGACTGCTCTGTGCAGGCTGGCTTGTAAACGCCACCTTCTCCCTGTGTCCTCATGTGGTCTTTCTCCGCACACAGAGGAGAGAGGGGCAGCTCTGGTGCCTCTTCCTCTTCTTACAAGGACACCAGTGCTACTGCATTAGAGATCCACCCTTACGACCTCATTTTACCTTAATTCCCTTTCTCAAGGCCCCATTTCCAAAGACAGTCACACTGAGGCTTGGGACTTCAACATGTGATCTTTGGGGGACATAATTCAGTCCAGGACAGTCTTTCATGGCCTAAATGCCAATTTATTGTTGTTTTAGGTTCACATGAGATGGGGAGCACTTAGGCGAGAAAAGCTAATGTGGGGCTCTTTCAGGGAGAAGGTGAGGGAAGAACTCCGGGAAAGGAAGTTAAGCTGGGGTTCTCCTTCCTGGTGCCTCAGCTTCCCCTGTGGCTTCTTGCCCCCTGGTGAAGGGGAGGGGCAAGAAAGCGGGGGGGGGGGGAGGGGGGAAACTTTGTCAGCAATGGGCAGGAAGGATAGGGGAGGACAGAGCAAGATGTCCCCAGGGAATAGCTAGAGACACCTCAGCCCCCACCTTTAGCCTGTCCTTGACATCCGTCATGCTCAGGTTCCATGTGTGGCTCCAGTGCCTTGGTAGCGCCCCACAGAGGCAGTGCATCCCAGGATCTCCTGATTGCTAACCACAGAGCCTCTTAAATGCTAGAGCTATGCCCACAGCTCATGGCATCCCTTCCAAGGCTCTGCTGGCCTAGCTCAGTGGGAGTGCAAGTTGGAACCATTGCCCTGCCACCCATTGGCCTGATGGATTTCCAGTGCCTGCGTTGAGAAGGCAATCCAAGTCCTAATTCCAATTTTAACATTGGCTTCTCGTGCTACCCACAATCTTAACTCGAGATCCCTTAGAGACACTATGTGAGCAGGAGGTTTGAAGGCAGAGGCTTTTGAACCGCAAAGAACCTGTAGGAAACTGAGGACAGTGGAAACAGGCAAGGGGGCTGAGCTGAGGTGGCAGCGCAGCAGGAGCCGGGCTACTCCGCCAGCTCAGCAGTTCACTATTGCTTAATTCAGTATTATGGTACGTGCAGAACTCAAGCGTTATGCTGAAAATATAGATCAGGTCTTAGAAATATTCTTAACTACAAGAGAAATTCTGTTAATATAATATTTAGTGAAAAAATAAGCATAAATGTTGGATAGACGTTGATCTTTCACAAATATTAATACAAAATGGATCCTACACCTAAATGTAAAATGCAAAGCTATCAATCCTCTGGAAGATGATATAGAGAAAATCTAGAAGATCTCAGCTTTGGCAAGGAGGTTTTAGACATAGCAAGAAAAAATTAATCCTGAAAAAAGTGCTGCTAGATTTCATTAAAATAAAAAACTTTGGCTCCGCAAAAGTTTCAATCCTCTGAAACTAAGAGGATGAATGAAGAAGCGTAGGTAGGTGAGCAGAGAACATTTGCAGAACATACATCTGATAGAAGACATGCGCCCAAAATATATAAAGAACTCTTGAAAGTCAACAAGGCGGCCTTCGCCTGCTTCCAGTACTTGTTGTCGCAGTGGCCACCGCTGCTACAGTTGCTGAGGCTGCTGCAGCTGCCGGCGGAGGCGGAGGGGCGGCGGGAGCGGAGCGCGAGGAGGGAGCGAGCATCGGGCCCTTCTGATTGCCTGAGGAGCCCGAGAAGCTACGGCCCCGCCGCCGCCTGCCCGCAGGACAAAGCCCACAGCCCGCGCCCAGAGCCGCGTCCTCGTCCGCCAGCAGAGGCCACCAGCCCAGCCAGAGCCGCGCCATCCCCACCCGCACGGGGCCCATCGGCGTCGCGGCGCAGCTGCCTCCTGACTATCGCATCGCGCCCGCCCGGACGCTCTTCTGCACCACACCGGGAGGAACTGCAATCATTCATGATGGAAAGTTTCTGTTGGATTGTCCCAACTGTCCCATGGTTCAGACCTCGCCCTGCCATCTGCCCAATATCCCAGGAGTCACCAGCCCTGACACCTTAACTGAAGACTCCAAAGGAGAAGTAAACAATTTGCACAACTTGAGCGATCACGACAGGAAGCACGCAGCGGGGGATGATACTCAGTTTGAGATGGACGCCTGGCTCTCCCGCAAGGATTAGAGGGAAAGCAGCACGGCCCATGCTTGTGTGCCCCTGATTCGCCAATAGGGTCCACAGGGGAAAGAAGAGGTGGTACCAGCAGTCCTCGTGCCACTCTCCACTCTATAGCCTTTGGTGCCAAAGGATGGGAAGATGACTGTCCTCTGACCATTTTTCTCCCTGTTCCCTGTTCCCATTCCCAGTGGGACAGAATAGATTGAAGGTCTTGCTGTATTTCTGTAGAGCGAAGCAGCCCATAGAGGAAAACATTAAACTGTGGCTTCCCTGGTCATTTTTTATTGAGAACCAACCCCCTCAAATTTATCCCAGATCAAATATCAACCTAACAACAGCTGCCTGGCTGGGAAGTCTGGGGAAGAGTACAGAGGTGTGGGGGGTTCATCGTGATTCATGTTCCCTACCCTCTGGCTCTCCTCCTTGTATCCCAGCTGTGGTTCAGAGCTGTGAAAGTCTGGGTTTGGGGTCTTTAAAATCACCAGGGAGAAATGATAAAAAGAGAGCTGCTTTCCCTTTACCTTGAGATGTTTGTCCTTAGGGACATCACAGTTTGTGCAACTCTCGTTACCTGGTGACACTGTTTTGAGGTCCACTTCCCTTCTTCACTCTGGGGGAATGTCTTCCCATTCCTTTACTTTTAAACCCTCTACGTCAGAAGGGAGTCCCCAGTAACCAGCTTTGGTCTTCTGTGTTGCTCCCTGCTTGCATCTTGTTGCTGGCAGAGTTCTTTTGTACTCTGAGATATCCAGGTGACTGCATCTGCTCCCAAAGCAGGTGCACACCAAGTAGCAGAGGCACTGTGGCCTCCACTTGGTTCATTAGGCCTGATCATAGTATCCTGCCAGACAGTGCCTACTCTGAGCAGCATTGACCCATTTCAGTACCCAGTCTCAGTAGTTATTGTTTTTAAGTCCAATGAGCATTGCAATATGTGTTCTTGGATTACAGTTCTTTATGTTTTGAGCTTCAAGTTGATTTTCAGAATGTTCCTAGAAAATAACTATTGTTTTCCTTTGTGGACCTCCTGTGTTTGGCTGCTGGGAGAGATAAATATGGGCTTTAAACTGTGTTCCTCCCAGCTTTCTTGCCTCCCCCATTCTTTTCTTCCCACCCACCGCTGCTCCCTCCCTCCCTCTCTTCCTCTCTCCTTTCTTTTTCTCTGGCAGGCCATTTTTCAGATTTACATCAAAGATGCCTCAAGTGTTGGTGTCTGATAATATCTGTCACTCCTCTTATGTGAGGGAGGATTTTTTATTTTTAAGATAACTACAGACCTATTTTTACATGTGTTTTCAGCACAATTTTGAACAGGAACTTTTTAATGAAACGTCTTCCCATGTTAGGAAGGTGAGAAATGTCCATAGGCAAGTGTGCTGTTCTACGTCACCATCCCTCATCTCCCTGAGTCCCTTAGGAGCTCCTTCCTTCCCCCTCTAGTCTTGGGTGTGCATGTTTGGAGTTTGTAGTGGGTGCTTTGTCAACTGGGCTGTCCTGCCTTGCCATGGGTGTTCATGAAAACCTCATCCTTCTCCCTCACCCCTTTGCTTTTGCACTCTTCCTCCTACCTCTCCTGGGACTGTTCACTGGCAAAATAATCTCAGGAGAGTGACTCCCCTCATAGAAAGACTAAAGCACCCATTCCCTTGTAGAAGGACAAGTAAAGTAGCCCATAGTCCTGGGAATTTCTGGTTGGATTTGGGGCCCTGAACCCTCTTATTAAGAAATCAGATCCCAGGGTGAGAGTAACAGGCCAATTGGCTAAGCAAGGAAGCTATTTGTTTTGTTCTGAGCAATGAAAAGATCCTGTTTTTGAGTACATTTAGAAAGATAGAAAGGATGTCTGGATAACTTTGTTCTGGAATTTTTTTTTTTTTTTTTTTTTTTGCTACAAAATGTGACTAGGGCAGAGTGAAAACCTTTTGTGACGGTTGATGTCTCTCAGGAATAAGCTGTATCTCCAATGTTGTAGGGATGCTCCGAGTCTCAAAAATTGATAATCAGAAAAGTATATTTTGTTTGTTTAATGCAACCCTCTTCTGATTTTAATTAAACTGCAAATTTTGTCCCACAAAAAAATATTTTATAATAAGGAAACAGACCACCTCATTTTTAAATGGGCAAAGCATGTGATGAGACATCTCCACAGAGAAGATACACAGATGACAAACATGCATAGACAAAAATGCTGAACATCACCTATCACTTGGAAATCGCAAATTAAAACAACAATGAGTTACCACCAGTGCAGGCAAACATGTGGAGTAACAGGAACTCTCATTAGTCGTTGCAAGGAATGCAAAAACACCACAACCACTTTGGCAGACAGTTTCGCAGTTTCTTACAGAGCTAAATGGTATGATGTAGGAATCACACAATTAGGTATTTAAGAAAATGAGTTGAAAATATAAGTCCTGAAAACAACCTGTACACTAATTTTTGTAGCAGTTTTGTTCATGATTTCCACAAAGTGGAATGAAACAAGATACCCATCAAAGGTGAATTGATAAACAAAGTCTGCTTTATCCTTGTATTGGTACAGGATTCGGTGATAGAAAGAAATGGACCATCAAGGGAGGAAAAGGCATGGAGGAACGTCAAGGCAAATAGCCAAGAGAAAGAGGACAGTCTGAAAAGCGTGCACACAATATGTTCCAAGTGCGTGCACGTTTGTAAGATGGAAGCTGTACAGTAAAAAGTTCAGTGATGGCCGGGCAGGGAGGGGCAAACAGGAAGAGCACAGGGGATGTTCAGGACATTAGGTGTTAGGCAAAGCCCACAGAATGCACACCAGAGTGAGCGCTAATGTAAGCTATGGATTTAGAAACAACGATGTATCAATAGTGCTTCATCAGGGCTGACGCATGTATCAAACTGAAGATGTTAAGAATGGGGTCCACTGACTGGGGAGACGGGGCTCTGCACCATGAACTTAGTGTTCTGTAACCCTGTCAGTGCTCTAAAATATAAACTCTAGTGTTTTAAAATATTTTAAATGTATATGATTATAATTTTTAAAAAATTATATTAAATGTATATAAATGTAAAATTAAATGCTGAATAACAGAATTACAGAGGATTCTCACTTGTTCCTTACACCCTTCTTCATCTGACCCATCTTCAAGGGCACATTATTCCCCTTATCCTCAGGAACACATTGCTCTGGGAATCCCCTTTGGTGCCCACACTCCTCCACTGTCCAGCTCAGCCTCTCCTGTGCCAGGTGACCGTGGCTTCTTGGCCGCTGGATCCGAGAGCTGCGTGGCTGGGTTCAGCCTCAGGAGAGAGGAGGAGCCAAGCAGGTCCTGGACGCTGGTCTCAGGATTGCAGAGGGAGGGGCCGCCCCAGCCCCTCTGCTGCAGACGGCTGCGTCTCTCTCCGCCAGGTGAGCTAAACCGGGCAGACTTTGCCTCTTTCCTGATCAGGTTTTTTGTTCTCACTCTTCCCAAATGCCACATGAAATTTCATACTCTTCCTCCTAACAAAATTTTATTCTACTTCTTGTCTGAATAACGTACCCTGACTTACCATGCCCAGAAAACACTGAACCCACCGTGTCCTAAATTACAGTCTAAAGTGTAGAGAACTAGTGGACAAGAAAGAGGGTCTCACCCCGAATCACCCCCTTCATTCACTCACTCTCGCAGTAAGTCCGTCCTGAGCACCCGTGGTGGGCTGGGCTGCGGACGCCTCACTGAGGAGAACAGAAGAATTCCTGCTCCAGTGGGGAAACACACAAACATAACCAACAAGCACACTGCACGGACTGCAGGAAAGTGACAATGATTCCATGGGCAGAGGAGCCAGGAAATGGGGGCGAAGAGTGGCAGGGAGTCAACTTGCTTTGAGAAGTGTGGACAAGGAAGGTCATGCAGAGAAGGTGGCATCAGAGTCCTGGCTTGACGGAGGTGAGCATTCCAGGCAGGAGGCACAGCCCGTGTCCAGGGCCTGGAGTGTCCACGGGAGGATCCAGGAGGCTCCAGTGGCTGCAGCAGCAGGAAGGTTCGTGGGAGGAGTCTAGGAAGGTGAGGGCCAGGGTGGCCCATGGCCTGCATCGCAGCCCAGCCTCTCAGCAGGATGTGAGCAGAGAGGACACACGACACAGGTCTCATTATAAAAGAGCCACTCTGGGGTCATGCCTTCTGGAAGAGGCTGTGGACTGGGTGCAGGGCTGCATCTTCCTCAGGGTAGGCCTGGCTGTGCTGACTTGAGGGAAGGCAGGACTAATGCCTGAAATAGGACCCTTTTCAGTGGTAAGTCTTTTGGATGGGCAAGGATAGGGTTGCTTGTGTGAGCTCCTCATTTCATCTGTTTAAATAGCATTTGACAGTTTCTAATTGTGGAAACTGATTCAGAGAAAGTTATGAAACTTGTACAAGAATATTCAGTGAAAATTTCATGCTGGTTTCTGTTTCTAAACATATAATCGAGAGAACATCCCCATGAAATCACCTATGTGCAGATTCTGTCCCCATCTGGGCCTGGCCTGAATCTGGTGGCCTGGAGCCTGTGTCAGGGCTGAGGCTGGAGTGCCCTGGTGTCCACAAAAGCCCACCCTGCTCTCACCTGGCAGAGCTGCCTGGGTCCCAGCTCTGCCCCACTCACATCTGAGTCCCACCCCCTGTGTCCTGGTGTCCTCCCTACCACACTCCACAAGGCCCTCCTGGACAGAGACTTTAGTGCATTGGGCCACAACCATCTACGCTCCTGTGTCATGCTAATTTCCAGAGTTTCCTTTCATCCCATGTCCCTGTCCTCAAGCAGAGACAGGCCCTGTGCTTGGCCCAGGCCTGCTCCACTTTCCCACAGGCTCAGCACTGTGGGGTTTGTCATCACTAGGTGCTGGTCCCCCACATGGAGACTGTGGAGTGGGAGGCCTTAGTCTAGTTTTCTTATTGGATGGGAAATGGTCCAATGCAGGACCAGGATGCGACTTAGGTGTTCTGCCCAGTCCTCACCCCAGGCTGAGACCTCCCCAGCAGCCAGGGGCCACTGGAGCCCTCTCCTCCCTCTCACTTCTGCCCACAACACCTAGCGCCTTCGTGATGACTGAGACAAGGATGCAGTCATGGTTTCCCCTTTGAGGATGGCTGCTGTGACCATAGTGGGATGAGCTGAATACAGGTGGGATGACACCCATGGATTCAGGTGTGGTTTGGCCGTAAGTGGCTGTGCTGCAAAGTGAGCCCCAAACATGAATAGAAGTCCCCCTCAGTACCTGCTCCCTATGGAAATACAATCTATCACATAACTATTGAGAAACAGTAGTCTATTAGGTCTTTTTATTTTTCTGCAAAAGTTATAAAGGAATATAGTGTATTCTCAAAGCTTCAGGGTTTTCATGGAAAGGTAAAGAAATGTACAAACAGACCAGCCTCAGTGGTTTATGCTTGTAATCCCAGCACTCTGGGAGGCCAAGGCAGGAGGAGCACTTGAAAACAGGAGTTTGAGACCAGCCTGGGCAACACAGTGAGACCCCTGTCTCTGCAAAAAAATAAGAAAAATTAGTCGGATGTGGTGACTCAAGCCTGGGTGATTCACACAGTGGGCTTGCTGGCCAGCTTGCTTGCTCCGTCTCCAGTGTCCTCTGGGCCCCAGGTCTTCAATGGCACTGGCCATGGACTCCGAGTGGAGTCTGACCGTCCTCCCACCTTTGCTTTCGCTTCTGTTTCTGCTGTCCCCCTGGGCCGGGGCGGGGCGGGCCAAGCAAGGGTAAGCGGCAAACGCGGG